TTTTTTTTTTCCATCTCTCCCATACACTGTCACGCCATCCTTTCATTCAAACTCTTCAGGTAGGTTGTGATTCACCTCTCTCTCTCTCTCTCTCTCTCTCTCTCTCTCTCTCTCTCTCTCTCTCTCATCTGATTATCACATTTTCCAAGCCTTTCCCACTTCATTACGAGAAACTTCTAATCTCTTCCTGGGGTAAAAACAAATGTAACCGTTTTGTCGTCTTTGTCTCAGGTAAATATATATGTTTTAAAATACAAGAACAATGGCATCACAAAAAAAAAAAAAAATAATCAGCCTGATGTCATTAAATATTTTTCAGAAATTAGAAAAACTATTCTTCTTTCTATAAATCAACCATATGTTCTTCTATGGAATATTGCTGTTATATATGTTTCAGTGCCACGCTATACGACTTGAGGTCCTTCACAAAATCCAGAGACGTATATAAAATGCGATAGGTCCTGATCTGTCATCTCGTCTACAGTCGCTTTCTCACAGACGTGCCATGGCTTCCCTCTGTCTCTTCTACAATTATTTTCACGGTAAATCTATTCGTGTCTTCTCGGAAGGTTGACAATCATAGCTCTCCCCAACTAACCGTCCTTTGTAGCTCTTAGTAAATTTTGTCTTTTTAACGTGTCTCCTTTAAAACCGGTTCTTCCATCCATGTTACAAAGTAGGATAGGCGCTGTATTCCTCTGTCACACTTGCCTCCATATTGCCCTGTGAGTGTCTAATTTTCGAACCCCCCTTCCATCATATCTATACTAGAAATTTAAACTGTCTGATGTTAAGCAATAGCGTCCTTTTTGTTTCTGTTTTCTCTAGAACTTCGCCGTTGCTCACATGTTCGATCCAGAATATTCTCAGCGTCTTTCTGTAGAACCACATTTCTGTTGTTTCAAGTCTCTTCTTCACCAGTGAGGAGGTTATCCAGCATTTCCCAGCAATATAGGAGACTTAATAATAATAATAATAATTATTATTATTATTACATTACTACACTTTTTCCGCACAGCATAAGATATTACTTGTTGGTTTCCTGTGCTTTAAGCAAACAAACCAGTAATTTAGTCTTTTCACCAACGGACGGTACCCTGTACTTTTCGAAGGGCCCTGGCTATATCGAGCAACCATACATTTTAATTATACCATTTCCAGACCACAGTCCAATATCTTCAATTATTATCATTATTATTGTTTTTGTCACTGATCTCAACACAGTGGAATCACTTCGACTATTTGTCCTTTTATATTCTCCTGCTTGCTCTCTCACCAAATGGAAAAGTTTCCACAAGTGTCCATCACATTGGCACCGTCGTTTCTGAGGAGGCGAGGATTAAATATTAAAAGCAGGGATTTAATAAAAGAAATGCAAAATAGTACAGTTCATGCGATATGCTCTTGGTGGAACTGCGAAGAGTCCCGGGGATGATATACTCGAATATGCTTTCAAGGGTTTGTCAAGTTACAATGGCGAATTCTTGACAAATACTTCCAATGCTGTTTGACACGAAATATCACGCTCTCTCAATCCTAACACCTTAGAGAACACTCACCATGTAACCCAAAATCAACCCGGAAAATGATGGATCACAATGTTCGACAACATTCTGCCTCTTTCACTTTTTGTCTCTCTCACTCCCATTTTTTTGTCATTTTCTCTCTCTTTACGGTTGAACTTATTTCAATGTATTTCTAATGCAATTGTGTGCATAAAATCCATTTTGTGGTCGTATATATATATATATATATATATATATATATATATATATATATATATATATAAAGAAGTATAGTCTTAAGGAATGCTATATTTATGGGATAAAGTGTTCAATATCAGATATAGAGCACTTATGTAAATATAAATATAAAAGTGAACATTGAAATCAACACTCAGAAGCGACAGACTGTTTCAGGCTGCCTGACGATTTTGTCTATATATGAAACAGCCTGTCGCCTCTGAGTGTCGACTTCAATGATATATATATATATATATATATATATATATATGTCATCTCGAGGCAGTGTAATGGTTAGCAAACTTATCTCGCTAGAACAATTACGGCTGAGTAGTGAGTTCGATCCTCAGTGTGTGCCCAATACTTTCGGCCTAGTGCCACATGTAAGCTATGCTTAGAAAATCATTATATATATATATATATATATATATATATATATATATATATATATATATATATATATATATATGTATGTATATAGTCTTAAGGTGTGGTATATTTATGAGATAAACTGCTCAATGACAGAGAAGTCACCACTTAGAGACGATAGTCTGTTTTTTCATGCGAGACGCAATCGTCAGACCACCTATATATATATATATATGTGTGTGTGTGTGTGTGTATATATATATATGTGTGTGTATGTGTGTGTACTGGTTCCATGTAGCTTGGGAAATATGTGTGTATATGTGTGTGTGTACTGACTACTTGTGGTGGGATAGTGTGTATGTGTGTGTATGCGTGTATAGGTACAAATAAGTTTACGAATTCCTCGTAGTAAGGAAATATACGCACGCATATATACACGCATGCTGACAGGAACACGCCAAAATAGAAACAGATCCAAGAGCACATAGAGGTCACTAAAACATTAAAAGATTAAATGCCGATAACTACTCGCTGGACAAACCTTAATTGTTTTATGACCGTTCACGCAGAACTCTTCATTGACAATTCTAGAAAGAAAATTCGGATTGCCAACACACAAACAGAATGTCTCATATCGAGAATATTCCACATTGAACATGAAGAAAAAAAATTAATTATTTTTAATAATATGTAAAAAATCTCCACTTTCACCTGAAGACGGTTTGCGAGACCAGACCAGAAACACGTGTCGTGAAATTATGTAAAACAAAGTATAATATTTTTCTCAATAAATCCACATTACAACCAAAAACGTTTGCGGCAACCCTCTTCTTTTTAATATACATACTTTTCTCTCGTTGGAACCACTACAACATATTTCTTTTTATATATATATATATATATATATATATATATATATATATATATATATATATATATATATATATATAACCTAAATCTATGTTTAGTGGAAGTATTGTCAGAAATGAATACTATAATTAGTGTCAGAGGTAGCACGTAATAAGGAAAAAAGTGGTTGGTAAATCTGACCTTCACAGGAAATAATGAATACAAGAGGGAGACAGAAAAACATCGAATAATCTCTCTAATGAGCTTGTGCAGAACAAGAATTAGGAGCGACTGTGAAAAGAAAAACACTTTCGAAGGTCTACAAAGGAAGTTGTGAAGAGTCATGATCGCCCACACCCTGTAGCAGCATCGTACATACAATAAGTACTTTTAGCAATCCATTGGAGTAAAATGCGAACTTCCTATTCGTTTGATTAGTTTCATAGCGCGTGGTTTAGCAGGCTATACAGTGCTTTGAATTCTGAGTTGTGATATCTAGTAGACTAGTTGCCAACCATGGCTAAAGATGGCAGTACTCTCTGTTATTTAATCCTTAGTTTGGGGAAGGGGAGATGTATCCATATCTTTCCTGTGATTATTTTTCTGAAATTGAATCTAACGAGACACGATTCTAATTCGAAACTTGCGCCTGCTGCTTCTACCACTATTACTTATTTCGATGTATTTGTAATGAAATTCTGTGTATAAACCCATTTGTGCTCATATATATATATACACGTGTGTGTGTGTGAGCAAAATGGTTTACTACTACTACTACTACTAATAATAATAATAATGTTAATAACAATTGTAATAATAATACTAAAATTATTATATAATTTAAAAATATTTTTAATCGCATCTGTACATCACTGTCTGTCTTTTATATGTAAGTGTCAGAATACACATCTATTTATTTTTATTCATTATCAATATACATTTCTTTTTTCCGCTTTCTCTAACTCTTCATTCGCCATTTTCTCACTCTACCCCGCGCTTTTTCTAAATAGATTTATGAATATATGTATGCGTGTGTGTTTATGTGAATGTATTTGCGTGCAATATCGCTGCCGGTGTGTGGTACTTACAGATACATCCAAGGACATTTATGCATATTCACTTTTTCATCTTCGTTATGTTATTATATACATATTTAAACAACAACAACAACAAAAACTCAGTCGCATTCTTCTCTGTTTCGCATTCGCCATTCAGACACTTTTCTTACCGCGCGAAATCGCTTCTTATCTCCACCCCCGACCAACATTAATCTTTTATATCGACAAAAGATTCTAAAAGTGTGAATCAAAAGATTGTAAAGGTGTTGATTTCGAATTCTTCCTCTCAACTTTGACTGATTTAAACATTAATAAAAACGATATGTGCTCGCCTCAAGCAAGTCGTGTCCCTCTTTCTTGCGTCACTCATAATATGAGTCCAATGAATAATATCTTCTTGTGAAGGCGCCATCCTATCACAGTTGCCAGTGGCCGAAATGTTCAGGCTGCCGTATAGGAAACTTTCTATGGCATCCTCAATATACGTATCTAACCGTCGACAAAAAAAAAAAAAAAAAAAAAAAATGATACTGAAGTTGGCTGTAGAATTTAAAGGGAAGGGATGTCATTATACATTATTTACATTATTCGGACTATAGTATTCATATTTGTCGCCATATTTCTTACAATGTTTCGGCCGTTTTCTTCAGGTGGTTGTAATGTCGAACTGAACCCTTTATTTGGCTCGCTGGGGTAGACTGTTCTACTTCCACGTGCCATGTTTAATGGATGTCAGGTATCAGTTATCTCCTGTTAATTAAATATGGCGACAAAGATGAGGACAATAGTCCGAATAATGTAAATAATGTACCATATTACCTCATCTCAGAAATATAGACGGATGTCATTATGTCTTTTTTGTAACAGAGTTTTCTCATTTTTGTGATATTACCAAACATTAACAAATGTTTTTGGAAATTAAAATTTCCAAATAGTCATTAGAATGGGGCAGTATTTCCCAAGTCGTGCGTGGCACTGATAGCTAAGGCGGAAGGAGGTAGAAGGTAAGGCGGAAGAGGATAGCAGGTGAGGCAGAAGAGGGTAGTAGGTGAAGCAGAAGAGGATAGCAGGTAAGGCGGAAGAGGGTAGCAGGTGAGGCAGCAGAGGCTATCAGGTGAGGCAGCAGAGGGTAGCAGGTGAGGCGGAAGAGGATAGCAGGTGAGGCAGCAGAGGATAGCAGGTGAGGCGGAAGAGGATAGCAGGTGAGGCAGAAGAGGATAGCAGGTGAGGCAGAAGAGCATAGTAGGTGATGCGTAAAAGGATAGCAGGTGAGGCGGTAGATGATAGCAGGTGAGGCAGAAGAGGTGAGCAGGTGAGGCAGAAGAAGATTGCAGGTGAGGTAGAAGAGGGTAGCAGGTGAGGCGGAAGAGGATAGAAGGTGAGGCAGAAGAGGGTAGCAGGTGAGGCAGCAGAGGGTAGCAGGTGAGGCGGAAGAGGATAGAAGGTGAGGCAGAAGAAGAGAGCAGGTGAGGCAGAAGAGGATAGCAGGTGATGCGTAAAAGGATAGCAGGTGAGGCGGTAGATGATAGCAGGTGAGGCAGAAGAGGAGAGCAGGTGAGGCAGCAGAGGGTAGCAGGTGAGGCGGAAGAGGATAGAAGGTGAGGCAGAAGAGGATAGCAGGGGAGGCAGGAGAGCATAGCAGGTGAGGCGGTAGATTATAGCAGGTGAGGCAGAAGAGGTGAGCGGTGAAGCAGAAGAGGGTAGCAGGTGAGGCAGAAGAGGATAGAAGGTGAGGCAGAAGAGGATGGCAGGTGAGGCAGAAGAGCATAGCAGGTGATGCGTAAAAGGATAGCAGGTGAGGCGGTAGATGATAGCAGGTGAGGCAGAAGAGGAGAGCAGGTGAGGCAGAAGAGGATAGCAGGTGAGACAGCAGAGGATAGTGGGTTAATAAGAAGAGGAAAGCAGCTGAGGCGGAAGAGGATAGCGGGTTAGGAAGAAGAGGATAGCAGGTGAGCCAGAAGAGTAGAGCCGGTGAGGCAGAAGAGGATAGCAAGTCTGGCGGAATGATTGAAAGACACAGATTTAGAAAGTTTCATTTGCCAAATCATAAATATGATTTCAAAATTTTAAACATTATTATGCGTTACTTGTAATTGCATGCATGTGTCGCAATATAAATAGCTATAAATAATTATTGACCGATTTTATCACTTTGATATTTTTGTCTTATATCTAATACTAGCAGTAGAGCCCGGCGTTGCCCAGGGATGTAACAGTAAGAGATAGATCAAGTATCGACCATCATAGAGATTGAAAAATAAAATCGACAAAGATTATTGTTTAAGGTTGACGGACACGCATGTCTTAAATAGTTTTTTTTGTTTTTTTTTTTTTACGAATTGGTCAAACTCAAACAAAAACATTCTTTTCAATCGTTATGAGTCTACTGATTGAATAGAATTTTATTATAAACAATTGTCTTGTAAATGGAATTTTTAAAGCATTCTGAATTTAAAAATAAAGAAAAAAGTGTGCAAGACAATAAGAAACACTACCTGCCAAAAAAAAGTGAAGCTTTGTTGAAATCGATTGAAAAATGTAGGAAATCCGATACCATATATAAACGAACACAGACACACACACACATAAACAACCTGGGTTTTATAACAAGTATAACTCGATATGAGTTGTCCCCCTTTCATTCAAGCGATGCCTCTTAATCGTGTTTTCAAATTGATTTCGTGCAAAAACGATTGTGTTTTTACAATTTTTGGCGCTGTCAGAACCACCGCAAGGTCATTTTACGTAGTCCTGTGAAGTTTTGTTGAAATCGATTGAATAATGTAGGAAATCCGATCCAATATTAAACGTAAAGACACACACACACAACCTGGGTTTTATAATAAGCATGATTAAGAATATAGTAACTAAAGTACGCAGATTTTATAAATATATTTTCATAAATTCCTTGCTGATAATATTTATAAAATAGTATTGACGGTATTAAAACCTATTTTTATACTTTCATAGTGTTTTGGGGTTAAATATTTGTCCATACCTGGGACCCTACCAGTTGCTACCCCGGCGAGTCAGGGTGGACTTGAGAACACCAGCAATTAAAAGATGGTTTCACGCTACACAAAATCTCCTGATCAGAGGCCTTGCTGTTGGATGGAGTTTATCGTCTTACCGAGGACGCTAGTTTCACTTATTCAGGTCTTCAGATTTAAGGTGCACACAGTCAAATCACTGAACTTCTTACAATTCAGCGTTACCTCCTTCTAGGTTCATAAAACCCACTTCATTTAGTACCCATGAATCATGAGAGTCTTGTGTGGTCTGGACTTAAATATAAATGCTGATAATTTTAAATCCGTGAATGATACGCATTTGTTGTTTTTTTTCTGCTTATTTGTCATTATTCGTCTGACGACATTTTGTTTTTGTTATTTGCCTGTGCGTGTAAATACATTCATTGTATCTCAAACAATGTGACATTGTCACGACATCATTAGTGGCGAATTAAGTTGCCCGAAAGGTTATTTGACGACCACTGGCATTATTCCGTCGAGGGTCGACTTGGTTGTGTCGCCACGTTAAACTCCACGACTGTCTTCAGCACAATGAACCAAAGTTGCACTTTCTCTTTGTCTTACTGAAAATCAAGTCAGACGTCTTTCTCCAGGGGTGAAATGTTTCATTTTTGCGCTATTAACTAGAAAGACGCTTATGGTTTTATATTGGATACTATTATTATACCCAGTAGGTAGATTTTGCTGGCACTTGTCAGTGACTGTGAGGGAAAAGTGATTGAGGGACACACCTCCATTCTAACAGTTTCAGACCGCTTGTTTACTAACAACCCAAAATCCTTACTGAAAAAAATATGGAGGGAATTTTTTTTTTCAAAGAAATCTCGCCTTCTTGCTAATTTCTGATTCGTTTATTCACTGGTCATTAAAAACGCATCCAAAGAGCCAAAACCTTTTTTTTCCTTTATGTGGGACTTGTAACGATCAACAGACTGTATCAAATATATTTCAGAAATACAATATAATTCTAGCAACCTGTGTAATTGTTCCTTAATTTCGAAAACTTTTTTCTTTTCGTAATCCTAAGCAGAATTAAATCGGAAAAAAAGACAAGAACGATGCAGTTCGTTAAAGACATTGAAACAGGGTATGCTACTTTTATTCACAGAATGATACCAGAAATGCAAAATGATCTATACCTATGTTATATAGATTATGCAAAAGCGCCTGATGAATCACGACACAAAAAAATGTTGGAACAGTCAGGTAACCTTGACATAGTTGAGAAAGAAATTAGAATAATCCAGAACATATAATATCAGCAAACTGCCTGCATACAGATTTATTGAACCTGCACAGTGAGGCGATTCTGAAATCCGAAGGCTTAGGATAGAAAAATATGCCTTCCAAAAGCTAAACAATGTATTAAGAAACAGAAAAATTTCGTTTGGAACAAAGAAAAGAGTACTGAATTGTTTTGTAACATTCTCATGTATGTCAGAAAATGCTGGACAAGCACCACACAAATGATGGCGAAACCTGAAGCAACAGAAATATGGCACTAAAGAAGGTTTCAGGGAATACCATGGAGCGAAAATGGGAGCAAAGATGAAGTTCTATAGAAAATGGAAATTAAAAGGATATCAGGAATAGACCGTTGACAATTATATGGCATATAATGAGGAAAGAGAGACTGGAAAATTTGTCCTCATGGGACAGATTGAAGAAAAGAATAAAGGAAAACAATGTATAACCTAACTTGCGAAACGCATGCCAGGGCAAGATTTAGGAGGTAAGAAAAAATATTAAGATCTACAAAGAACAAGAAACTGTGGAGAACCATGATCGCCTCCGTCCTGAAAAGACACGACACATAGAAGAAGAATCCTAAATATTATTCTTCTCGTCATCAAACATACAATGTTACAGCTAAACGATAAGACATTGAACATTTACATTAATTATAGTGATTTTCCAAGCGTAGCTCAGATGTGGCACAAGGCCGAAAGTAAGGCGCACCTAGTGAGGATCGAACTCACTACTCAGCCGTAATAGTTCTAGCGAGACAAGCTTGCTAACCATTACACCACATCGAGGTGCCCCTTTACATTAATTATAAACAAGACATCTTTGTGCCATGTTTTTGATTCACAAAATATATTGTTTATCAACGCGATAGAAAACGCCGATTAAGAGGAAATGTCAGAAATCGTTATGAGAACAGCATCGACGGCTAAGTATGAGTTCTATTTTTCTACTTAAGGTGGCAGGCAGACACAAACAATAGTCTAAGACAATCGGACTTGTTATAACCAGAATCCTTCAGATGGAATGGATTTGCCTTGGGATTTCCGAAAATACTGACTTTGGAAATAATTCTTAATCTTATATAATGAGATCAGTAGAAAGAACCAGAATAAATCTCCCAAAAGGAAGAATTACTCAGATGAACAAACATTTAGGAAAAAATACAAACTATTATATTTCCTTAAAATATTGACATATTTATGCGTGTCAAGGTCTGGCTGTGCAAAATGTCTCAAGCGTAAAATATTACAAGAAGAAGTACTGACAGTGTTGATAGCTCAAAATGTCTTTCTCATCAACACTGTCTGTGGCCTTTGCTGTGTTTGCTTAAAGAAGGAATATCGATATTTACTAAGAATGTCGTACTAAGGCACAAGTGGGAATGTGAGGTGGATTATTGCGTGTCGCTAAACAAACATTCGAATTCCTTGATTTCCCCTTTGGCAACGGTAGAATTCCTTCTTCTATACGTAGTGTACCTTCAGAACGTGGGTAATTAATAGTTCTACACTACACCCTTTCTTTTGTTGCTCTGAGTAACGGCTTTCGTTTTGCTATCGACATAATTCCTCTTCTTTTATTCATTTATAAAAGCATTTTCACTAGGTTATTCACTGCTTTCCTCTATCCTGCTAGTCTTCAATATGTCCGAAACCTCTTTTAACATTATGTCTCCCAGACATGTCAACCGTTTCTTTTTCTGTATATAAATTTACTTTTTGATTACATATTACTTAAAACTGTATCGTTACGCCCATGTTCATGTCATGGTATTCTCGGCATGCCTCTGTAGAACTATATTTTTCTTGCCTGAAGTATTTTCTCTATCTGTCATGAGATTGTCGACTATTCACTGTGTGGCACCATGCATCCAGGCAGAAAAGAAGAAAGGAAGGAAAAAGTAATGCGAGACGGATCATAGGCGAACACACACACACGGCTTAAGAGGCAATAAAAAAAAGAGGTTATTTTGGATAAGTGGCAAATGCCGAAAGGAGTGTCATTACAATGACAATGAGATTGAGTGGGTAGGGAAGTGTTATCTAAATAATTGGTACGAGAAAGCATCTTACTATCAAAATTAAAGGCCACCTGCGAGCAAGCATTGACCGATTTCCCCACTTGTCCGCGCGAATGGAATTGTGTTATCAAGAAATGTTTACCAAAGAAAGTCCACTTGAAAACGTTAGATTTTGATAATTGACAAAACACAGGTGTAGCTTGGAGCCTTAGCTGGGTATGGAAAATTAAAATCCCACAAAGTAGTCTCACTAGTTAAGCTCTTTTCGACAAAAACAGACTTTTGCCCTGCGATAATAAAATTTTGTTATCAGACACATGAACCGAAGGAAAATGAATGGAATAAGAAATGTTTTTATTGCTGCCTCGGAGACGTCAGACTGGCTGAAAGCTTGGAGAAAATTCCTTTCTGAGACCATGTCGGAAAATCCAGCCGTCTGATGCATTAGCGATAAACTGCTTGACAAACACCACGTGTTGAACAAAGAGTTGTCACATTATCCCTTCATGATAACAGCGATTTGAAAGAAAGAAAAAGAGCAAGAGGAGAGATCATTAATTTTTTTAGTTAAACAAGGTATTTCTTTTCCAAAACAAAGCCGCGGGTTGTTTACGCCCGACTAAGACGTCATTGGTCAAGTGGTGATCACATGACGCACGAAGGAGGAGGAAAGATACCCGCCCAAGACCTCATTG